AAACATACCTCTCAGAATCTTTACACTGAAGACATATAAGCAAAGAAAACGGCATTGGAAGGAGACCCACTAGACCCGGAATCCAGTATCATTAGGGGATCTGTTTTCAGGAAATGGATTTACCATTTCCTAAATCTGTGATTATGAATGTGTCAACTTATCAGAGGCTTTTGAACTAGAGTCCATCTTGAATAGGGGCTGGGTAAAAGAAGGCTGAGACATACTGGGCTACATTCCCAGGAGGTTCAGGCATTCTTTGTCACAGGATGAGACAGGAGTTGGGCAGAAATTAAAGGTGACAAAGCCCTTATTTAAAAAATAGGTTGCAGTAAAGAAGCTGGTCAAAAACCACCAAAACCAAGATGGCAATGAGAGTGACTTCTAGTTGTCCTCACTGCTCATTATACACCAATTATAATGTACTAGCACACTAAAATACACTCCTACCAGCGTCATGGCAGTTTACTGATGCCATGGCAACGTCAGGAAGTTACCCTATATGGTCTAAAAAGAAGAGGAACTTTTAGTTCCAGGAACTGCCCACTCCTTCCCCAGAAAACATAGAAATAATTCACCCTTTGTTTAGCATATAATCAAGAAGTAACGTAAGTATGAGCAGCTGAGCAGCCCATGTTACTGCTCTGTCTATGGAATAACCATTCTTTTAATTGATTACTTTCTTAATAAACTTGCTTTCACTTTACTGTATGGATTTGTCTCGAATTCTTTCTAGCGTGAGACCCAAGAACCCTCCCTTGGGGTCTGGATCGGGATCCTTTTCGGTAACAAACTTTCCTTGTGAGACCACAGTGGGAATAAATGGTCTTTATGGTCCCACCAGACACTGGTATTCCATGAACTCTGAATACTGGGGAGTCATATAATTCAGCCCTGATTATCAAGTTATCGTCCAACTCAGTTTGTTGCGACAGGGATTTCCCAAATACACTATGCTTTCAGTAAACAGGAGTATTCTATGAAATCTATATGGAAATCAGATTTGTGAACCAAACACTTAGCTTGTAGAACTATCGTACAGCAGGTTAACAATCTTTATTGGCAGAAGAACAACAGTAATTGGGTTTGTGCCTACACTTTCAGGTAGGAACTAATCCTGCCCTGACATTACTGAGGAAAGTAATTAGGAAACCTCTCAATTTGCACAGATTCCACAATCATGTATACAGAGTACTAGAAAATGAAAAGTTTTTTAATTAAAGTTGGCATTTATGATCTCACAGCTGTTCCTTTTCATTTCCTATAAAGTGCCTTGATTTTGATACCAGGAGACTAGTGGCCTACAATATAATTCCAGAAGGAAGATTTTATTTGGCTCTGAACAGAGGAATTGCTGGCTTCATTAGAAAAAAAGCTTCCCTAAGGTACAGCTCAATGCTCAGGTAACAACCTTGTTTGGAGACAAACTCAATTTGGTTATATAGATTTTAATGGAGTAGAATTATTTGCATATTTTTATAATAAAAGACAGTTAAATAATCAATATACCAAGAAAGCAAGTGTAAAATTTCCAAATATACAAGAGGTTTTGCAGTAGTTTTGTAACCGAGTACTACCACTTTCTGTTTATTTATTTATTTATGAGACAGAGTTTTTTGCTCTTGTCACCTAGGCTGGAGTGCAATGGTGTGATCCTGGCTCACTGCAACCTCCACCTCCCAGGTTCAAGCAATTCTCCTGCCTCAGAATCCCGAAGTAGCTAGGATTTCAGGAGCCCACTACCATTCCCAGCTAATTTTTTTTGTGTGTGTATTTTTTAGTAGAGACGGGGTTTCACTATGTTATCCAGGCTGGTCTTGAACTCCAGACCTCAAGGTAATCCACCTGCCTTGGCCTCTCAAAGTGCTGTGATTACAGGAGTGAGACACCATGCCCAACCATACTCTCCCTTTTTTAAGAGAAAGAGAATGAGTTGTTTTCATTTTTTTTTCTTCTTTTCTCTTTCTTCTTTTCCCCCTGTTCCAACTTCTTACTTAGCCTTTTAGAAATGTAATTATAACCTCGACCTGTGCTTTACCAGACACTTCCTACAGGGCAGGCTTATCTATGTATTTGGCAGCCCCAGAGCCAGAAACTTCTCTCACCAGGAGACTGCTTCCAGAGAAAACAGTCAATTTTCAACCTAAAGTGTGATTCCCAGGAAATTCTCCCCTACCTGGAGAGTAATCTCCAGACAACAGCCATTGTACAACCTGGTTCAGCCCTTGATGGTGCCAGCTTGACTCCTCCCACCCCCCATAAATAAGGTGCTAAAGTGAGTCACATAGACCTCCACTTGCTTGCTTCCTCCCCTGCAGGCCAGTCATGCCGTCCCCCTTTTAAATGCCCTGCTTTCTATCCCAAAATGGAAGTGATACATTTAAGGCAGGAAGCCTGTACTTTTTCCGCTAGAAAGCTTTGGAATAATAAGTCACTTTCTTTATACCAGACCCTGCTCTTGTTAATTGACTCTGCAAGTGCTGAGTGACTGAGCCTCTGATTTGGTTACTGTTTTAAGGAGCTTGAATCAGGCCTTAGTAAAGTAAAGCCACTCTTGTTGCTGGTATCCAGGCTGATTAGCAGAAGGAGGCGGGCTAGCCTGGTAAAAGACACACAATTAGGAGTCGCCGGTCAACAGAAACCTGGAGGCGGCACAGAATCATCACTCAAAGGAAGTCAAAGGAAGTTAGTCCCATTTAGATGGAGGAAGCAAGGAAACCAAAGGAACTGTATGAATCTGCAAGGAAAGTGCCACCACTATGCCCTGCAATGTTAGTAACTATGTCAATTCAAAGGTAAGCTTTGAATTCTACTGTACAAATAGAAAGTAAAAACACAACAAGATGAATGATTATACCAAGACTAACGTCTGTTATATGGCTAATCAAATAGTTATTTAATTAACCATGTGCAAATATAAGAAGAAAAATGAATGAAAAGGCATACGCAAAAATGTTTAAAAGTAGTATTTGGGGGTAATAGAATTTTTTCTACTTTTTTATATTTTCCAAATGTTTAAACTTTGTATAACAATAACTTATAAATATATATTTTGCACTTTAAAGTACGCATAAGCTAATTTCCCAAATTAAAGAACAAAAGCACTGGAACAAATGACTTTCCATAATACATTGTTAGAATGAAAAAAAAAATCTTAAGTAAAAAAAAAATAAGAATAAATCAGGAAGGATGATACTTGTGAGTTTCTTCTGACTCTCATGCATAGCTAAAATTCTGATTTTATAGCTGGATTTTGAATGTGAAAAAATATACTTGATAGTAAGTGAGACTTGCTGAAGTCATAGTGTGTGTCTATGTCTGTATCAAGTACTTAGCATTATTGTTTTCACTTTTTATTATCCACACTGGCAAACAGGAACTGGTGCCCTGCTTTAAAAACCAGAACTTCTAGACTCTAAGAGGTTAAGTACTTTGTCTGAGGCCAGACAGCCAATAAGCTGTGGTGTCAAGGTTTAAGTTCCTGTTTTTCCAACACATGTCCCCATTTTCAAAGAACATAGCAATGTTTTAACTGATCAAGAATAGCTTGTTTATGGAGAAAATAATTTGAAGTTTTAATAATTTCTCAATTCCTCATGGTATTCTGAGCAATGTATACATACCAGGTCCAAATATGATTTTCTTTTGCAATTCAAAAATCTGTATAAGTAGATTATTAGAGGCCCCAAGCAGTTTTATTCTAGGTTCTAAGCTGCATACTTTAAAGTTTCTTGGGGGTATTTAACTTCAAAGACTTCCAAAGTAGATCACTGTGGTCTAATCAAATCTTGGCGGTACTCTTAAAGTCCTTTGCAGCATCCCTTTGAAGCTGAGTTCAATTTCTTTACGGTTTTACAATCAAAACTTCTATTTTTTACAAATTTTCTGTTGTGTCAGTGTATTGGGTTTCTGAAGTACTATATTATCAGCATATTTTTCTGAGTCATTTGAAATTTTGTTCATTTAAATTTGTGCATTGGAATATACCTGCAAAATCACTATGAGACATCAATAACAGGTCAATTATTTGTTTCCCAAACCTGGTAAGTGGCAGAATTCATTCATTCAAAGTGATATTAACAAAGTTATGAATTTGAATGTTTTTAAGTATAGAGAAAACAACATCTGTATTTCACAATAATTGTTAGAAGCCCAAATTTCAGAGTCAGACTGACCTGGGTTGAAGTATCAGTCTTGCAGTTTATAAACCAAACAATCTCAGACACAGTTATTAATTTGTAGGCTGAGGGCAGAAACACTGATTCATATATTGACCATTTTAAGCCTTAACTGAGTTAATACTTCTATAGGGGTTAGCATACAGTCGACACCTAGGCTCAATAAAGGATCGGTATAATTTTGTTTTATGACTTTTGTAAGGAGTGTGTGTTACTTCTGAAAAGTTGTTATTTTATGTGTCTTCCCCTCACATTAAATGGCAATAAATAAGTCATAAAGTAGAACTGTAGTACCTCCCCTCTCCCACTAATATATACATTTCTCCCACCTCCAGTTAATGACTTCCAAGTATCTTGGTAGGGCTAGAATATCATTTTCATTTGATAAACTGAGTTGATTTTGAATCATGAAGAAATAATTTTCCTGGCTGAGAATGGGGATCAGAGAAGGGGACATTCTGTTCCTTTGTCAGGAGGATAAAGTCCCTTCCTACCTGTCATATATCAAAATTTCAGAAAAAAAAGTACCAGGCCAGGGAATCTAAATGTTAATAATCACCTGAGTTGCAAAATGTTATGCAATGTATTTATTTATACGATCTAATGAGAGCTTTCAGAGTAAATGTGTGTTGATAGAGATTTGAGAAAGGGCAGTAAATGCTATTTTTTTCTCTGTAGAACAGAGAGAGAAAAAGAATATATAGAATATTCTACATATGTAATATATAGTAATACCAAATAGCTATATATATACATTTTAGTTATGCTAAGTGTGTATATGTATATGTAACCTTTATCATATAAAATATTTCATATAACCTCTTTTTACTATCCTGAAATCAGTAAATAACATAATCTAACTACCTACTTAGTGCTTTTAAAATTAATATTATGCACTTACTGTAACCTAAAGAAGACATAAAATAAAAACTTTTAGAATAAAACAATATGCATTTCACTGTATAAACGACTAAGCTTGATACCCTAAAAGAAATGATGAAATAGTCAGATTCTGATGCCTACATGCAGAATCACAGTGCATATGATACCTTCAAACACAGAATGAGATAGCTTGTCTTAATGACCATTTAAATGCCACAAGTGGCTTCACTATAAATAAAAAATTCTCAGCAAAGCCTCATCTCCCTCAAAAAATATGATTTTCCTTCCATTTGTATGGAGATGGCAATCTTGAAAGTTTAGTGTATACTGAAACCATGCCAAAAAAATGTGTGCCTAGATATAAAATAGAGTTAGATTTTAGGCTTAGATAATGAGAGTTTTTCACCTTCGTGTATCTCTGAGGGACTTTTAAAACACAGTACATCAAAGGAAGTTCTTTGCTGAATGGAATTGTCACAAGAATCACAGTAAGTCCAGCTTTCTTGTCAAACATATATTATTACCAACACTAATATGACCAACTTCAAATTCCATTTATATCTTGTTTAGCCTTAGAAAATGGTGTCTCAAAATGAAGACCTCAGAAGCAAACCCTGAAGTATAAGTTCTTCTCTAACCTTTTCCTGCCCCGATATCGTGTACTTCTAATTCTTCCCTGATTCTGGCCAAGGAGACTTGAATCCCACTTCCCCAAGGCAGATCACAGAAACCAGAACCTCATTTTCTTAAAGCTAGCTATGAAACCTAAAATTATTACTCTAACTTTTCCCCAATTTTCTGTGAAAAAACTGGCCATAAATTCTCTGACCTACATCGTCTGAGAGCAAGTCATAAGAGCCCATTCCAGAGAGTCTTCCCTCACACCGGATGGAAGGAATGCCGCATAGAGAGGCCAGGGAGGGGCTGAACAGGCAGGCCTTGCTGGATTTCCATGCAGTCTATTAGCACTAGGCTGTGGTTCAATCGTATTTCTACAGGTTGTCCATACTTCATCAGACTTAAGCATAGCCACCCTAAAATCACCAAAAGGGACAAAATCTAGTCCAAAGCGAGCTTATTCAAGAACCAAATTGAGGATGGCCCACCTCAGAAACATAGATTCTAAAAAAATGTGGGTGTTTCAAAGTGTAAAAGTTTCAGACAGCTTATGTAGACAAAGCTGAGGGGGTTTAACAGAATTTCAGCTTCTTTCTATGTAAGGCTTAATGCATAGTTACAATGATCTGATTAGTCAAGGTGGTCTTTTTCATCCAGGAAAGGTCTATTCAGCATTCTGCACTGAAGATGGAACAGTCGTGGGATCTTTTGGACCACCATCTGCTCTGAGTTAGGTTCAGGATGATAAAGGAGGCAGTTAATCTATAACAAAGATCAGTGATTGGAAGCGGGGAGGTATGGTCTCTGTTCTCTCTTCATCATTGCAGAAAAAATGACATTTAAGAAGAGACTTAAGCTACAATCTAAGAAGCAGAATTGAAGACATGCTACATGATTCAGTCTCCAGTGATTAATTTCCACCTTGGCATAAGAAACTTAGAGGTTCTGATATTTTCTTTTCTTCTCAACCTATAAAAATAGGTTGTTCCTTTTGAGTCTTTAGGTTTTCATTGTGAAGCGCTGATGTCACCTAGAACTATGATTGAATACATGTATGATGCCTTTATCTTGTTAACCTGTCTTTATTACAGTGGTATCAACTGTGATCTTTATGATGGGGAGAAAAGGGATCACCCTTTTTCTGCCTCTACAACCCCTTAAAACCTGTGTGACAAGCAAAAGTCACTCACACATCCCTATATTACTATTGAGGGAGCAGAATAACCCCAGTGAGTACCCCTGATTACAACTTTACCAATAATTAGATAATAATCTTTAATTTGCTTAATTCAGATACTCAACAATACATTAATTAATATTGATCAAATATGTCTTATACAATAACTAGTACAGAGTAGATACTAAATAAATAATATATTTATCCAAATTATCATTAATTCACAATCATTAATTGTTGTGATAATTCTAAGTTACATTTAATAGCTTGATGTATACTTTAAAATAAGCAGCCCTCATTTACTTATCTGTGTCTGGGAGGAGATCCCTTTTCATGGGTTATTAAGCAGAAACTCACAGCTCTTAATTGAAGGTACCTGCATAAATACTTCCTACTCAGAAGAAAGAAAAAGGTCAGGGACTGTATATTGATAGCTGATTGTTATCCAGGATGAGGGAGAAGCCAGTAATTTGTAATTGTAGAATTCATATTTCTCCTGGGTATATAAACCATGTAAGTTTGATTAAAAATTGCCACCTTAAAGACGCCCCTCCCTGGTTTTATTAATCTATTTTATTTGTCTTTCCCCCATGTTTAAGTATCATAAGACCATTTTTAAATGAACTCCTTTGTGGTTTCAAACCTCATGAGAAACTATTTTGCAAAATTTCCAACCTCTACTCTGTGGCTGCTTTGAAGTCATTATGTGGCTTTTGCTTCCATTTTTTTGAAATGAAACTGTTATTGCATTGTTGTTTTACAAAGCAATTCATACAGTCTTTAGACAATTTGATTAGCTTACTCTCAAGTTTCATGTATCACTAACTGAGAGAAAATAGACTTGGAGATACACAATTCTGAATTCAAGTCCCAGGTCTGGAGCTCACTATCTACGCTCTTGGGCCAGTTGCTTTACTCTTCTGAACCTAAGTTTCCTCATTTAAGGAATGAATGCAACCATCTCACAGAAGGTTTATGATGATTAAATAATACATAATATGGGGACTGGTACAATGCCTGCCACATTATGATTGCTCAATAAATTATGATCATTACTATTACTTAATACATCACTATTATATCAACAAAAATAAAGAATTTAAAATATCTTTGATTGGCACATGGGGGGAAGCTAGATGGAGGGCTTGGAGTTGCTTCCAACTCCATCTCCTGGAGGCCAAGAAAGAGGCGAGAGACATGAGGCATAATAGCATGATCATTAATTTAGGAGGAGTGACAGTAAATCAACTTGTTCTATATCCCATAATTTTTGAGACCAAGACATGGTTGACATAACTTCTCATAGACATTTTCCATTCTCTTCAAGAAGAAAAATTAGCTTTGTAATGCAACTACTGGTTTTCTTGTTCTCAAGTTTTTTTGTAAATTCAAACAATTTGGTAAGGGTTAAGATTACATTTTGAAGTAGATGGTTAATTCCAGAAACAGCAGGGGTAAATCTGTAAAACCTATGAACCATGAGTATGCTGATAGACACAGGGAAATACCTAACAATATTTAAATTGTTAAAGCCTTCAAAATAATCTGGTCAAATGTGCTACCAAATTTGTTGTTTTGCTGTATAACTGCCGGTAGGATGAATACCACAGACTTTAATTTCTGTTCTTCTCATTCCTACAAAGATTAGTCATTTTTCCATTCCCATAAAAATCTCTATGATTTTTATTTTAGGTCTTCATAGCAAAACAATCAATAGAAACAATAAGAAACTGTTTCAGACACAAAAATAGGCAGCAAAACTGGAATATAATGAATAAATAACTAAAATAGTCACATCTACGTACGTCAAAGTGAATTTTCAAACATGTACTTGAATAGGACAAACAGTACCGTTACATGATAAGGCAATTCCCATGGGAATCCAGGGTATTACAATATTAAAATAATTATAAGAAACAAGCAACATAGAGTAATACTCACTTCTGAATAGTTTATTATTGTTCTATAATGTTAAAATTTAACACAATCTTTGCTGGAGAAATGACATTTTAGTTAAATAAACCATACAGAAAATACTTATACATATCCCCCAAATTACTCATATTTGGAGTAAGACAATAACCCTCATTTACCCAGAGAAGTGAAGAGTAGTTTGAGGGACTCGGAGACCAAGTTTGAGGGTTTGGGAGAAACTGTACAATGATGCAGAACTGAGCACTGCACGTGCTTCTTGGGGATTTTTATTAAGTAGACAATGAATCTTAAATGAATTCTCCATTCATCAAACTGTAGAAACAAAGTTTTTCAGTTATCTTTTATTCTTATCACACATTGCTTTATAATCAAGGAACAGTAACATGTTTTTGTGTGATTCTATGTGAAGCCTGTAGATATCCCAGTTGTATGCTATCAATAAAAGTTCCAAATCCCACACTGCTCTGTTTTCCATGAGCCTAAAGCACAAAATAAAACATGCAAAGTATTGCAAAATTTAATAAAGCTTAACAGGTAAGGCAATCTGACAGCCTAGTTGATGCTCATTACCCAACATATGATGAAACCATTTAAGAACATATAGGCTGATATAACAATAAGAAGATAGGTTGCTTTTGAGCTGACAATAATATAATATACGCATTAAAATAATTTAGCAATTAGTTTTTTTTTTAATTACAGCATGATGTGATTATTTGGGCACTGTTTTTTTCCCCATATAAGTGATTTAATGGCACAACAAACATTTCTAATGACCTTTAAACCTATTTTCAAAAGCACTAATATTATCACTAAATTAACAAACATATCCACAATTTCCTAAAGGCCCTAAAAAGAGAAACAGAAATGCATCTCAGAATATATACTGCATTCTTTAGGGCTGAGTGAGGCACATAAAATCCAAAAATGTTATAAAATACAGGTTTTAGCCCTAAAGATCAAGTCTACTTCAGTAATGCACATATGCTGCTCAGGTAACCTAGAAAAGATAGCTTTTCACTGTATTTTATCTTTTATAGTTCTGCTCTTAGGAATGATATATTTTCTACCTCTGATTCTTAGAGCAGTAAAGGAAGCGTAACAGTTATACAAAAGAAACAAACTCTTTCATTTAGCAGAATGGAATTTCTTTCACGCTATCAGTTCAAATATATAAGACCCTTATAAAGGGACCCTGCCTATCTCTGTGGTTAGAGAAGTTGGAAACAGGAGCCTGCTGTCTCATCTGCCTTTACTTCTGACTAGCTGTTCAGTCCGGGAGAACTCAATTAACAAACAAATCTGGGCCTCAGTGCTTCCCATTGAGAAGGAAGAGCTTTTTAAAAATGCTTTTTAAAACCCAGACAAAACTCCCTTTTTAGCACTTTCTATGTGTGTGTGTTTTCTTTTTTCCATGAATTTTGCTATATAGGAGAATTTCTAACAGCATACCAAAGTATAGACTATCAATAATCAATTAAGATTTTACCCCAGATTCTCTCTAGTTTGTGACCTTTCCATTTTCCAAAGAAGGAATACATTAAAACCACTGGTCTTAGGAAGTAGGGAAGCTGTTGGGAGGTGATAAGTAGCAGTATTTATTTACTCAATGCATTATTTTAATTAACAAGTAATGTTTTTTAAAAAATAGAAATCATTCTGTTGTCATCAGACTTTAGAAAGTAGAATAAGACTCCTAAAAGGTGTGAAAAAAATTTTGGAGCATGAATTAGAATGGGAAGACAGGCTAAAGAAATGACACCCATTAGTTACTGAAGCAAGTCAGGATGAAGCTGAGACTAGAGCAATACAAACGGAACGCCACTGAGTGAGGAGGGCCCATTTTTATTCTTTTCTTTTTTTTTTTTTTTTTTTGTTGTTGTTGTTGTTGAGATAAAGTCACACTCTGTCACCCAGGCTGGAGTGCAGTGGCATAATCTTGGCTCACTGCAACCTCTACCTCCCAGCTTCAAGTGATTCTCCTGCCTCAGCCTCCTGAGTAGCTGGGACTACAGGCATGTACAATCACGCCTGGCTAATTGAGTTCTCATTTTTCTATCAATAATTATATGTCTGATTATAGTTGGCATCAAGCTTAAGAGTTGTGGCTCTTCACGCATTTATCACAAAAGATCTATATCACAGTGTCTTCTCAAATAATTTGCATGTCATGATAGAGTTGTTTTGCTGGAAGCTTCTCTCATTACCTGGCTCTGCAGCTAATTAAGGTTTTTTCACCATTCCTTTTAGAAACTCAAGGAGGAGGAAAACAAATTATCCCCACGTTTCACACAACACAGCAATGGTAGCAGATCCTCATCAGTCTCCGCAGTCTCTAGCACATATTGAATTAACCCCTCCAGTTGTATCCCTTCAAGTCTTTCTCCTTGTTTATTGCCTGCATTATCCAGAGTCCTACTCACTTCTACATGTCCAGTAAGGATATTGGACAGGTCCCCAGAAAACTACCACCTGAGAATATTTTCTGCAATCTGGATTCCCTTCTTCTACCTCCATAACAGCCCGTATTAGTCCAATCAGGCATTGCTATAAGAAATTGTAAGAAATGCTCATGGTTCTACAGGCTATACTGGAGGCTTGGTGGCATCTGCTTCTGGCATGGCCTAAGGGAGGTTTTATTTACAGCATAAGGCAACAGAGAAACACACAGTACACATGGGAAAACAAGAGCAAGAGAGAGAGAGGGTGAGGTGCCACACTTTTAAACAGCTAAATCTCATGAGAAGTCACTCACTATCAGGAGAACAGCACCAAGAGGGTGGTTCTAAACCATTCATGAGAAATTCACCCCCATGATACAATCACCTCCCATCGGGCCCATCTCCAACACTGAGGATTACAATTCAATATGAGATCTGGGTGGAGGCACAGATCCAAACTATGTCACAGCCTTAGCACACTGGTATTCAAGACTGCATGTGGGATTCATATTGCCCTGGAGTTCTTAGTATAGATTCCCACAGTGCATTTTGGTTTTAATCAGTGATTCTCCCTTCCTGGTCAAGCATGTTCTTCTACCTTCCCTGACTCTGTCAGATTTGGGCTGAAGAACTGCCACAGTTTTTAACCAACAGAATCTGATCCTTCATAAATATCTGTCCACAAAAATGCATTGAATCAACCTTTCATCCATATGTTGCCTCAGCATCCATGTCCCTCACCCAACTGCTGCTGGGTTTTTTTCACTTCTTTCAAGAATCTGATTTTCACAATGTCATGCACAAATGTTGTATCAGTGTCTTTAAAATTTAGATCTTATTTCCCAGACTAAATGTTGGTGTCTTGACCAATTCTTTGGGTAGTGTCCCTTATCTATGTCTATTTTGTCCATACTATTCTTTAGGAACTCACAAATTGCCAAGACCTTGTTCTGCTGTATACACATCATACCCTGCTGTCTGCCTGGTGGATCTTTGGGATCTGTTGGTTAAGATGGAGCAGAAAGCTTCCTTTCTTCAGTAAGTCTCCCAGAAATGTTTCCTTGAATATTGATGTTGGCATTCCTTTTGCACTGGGGACTGCTTCAAGTTAATCACTCAACAAAGTGACTAATGAGCCCCTAGACTGTGCCTAAAAATAGAATTGCTTTAGGTACTGGGTGTTAAAAATATGAGTAAGATACAGACTCAGACCTAGTAGAGGAGAAAAATACACAAATAGTAGTTATAGCATCTGACCATTACAATTATAGCAGTGAGAACTGACTATTGGGTTAGGAGCAGACATACCAAATCTTTATGGATATCAAAGTGTCCTGAAGAAGATAACAAACTGAGTTGAATCTGAGAGAATAAGGAGAAGAAAGAATATTTCCAGCAGACAGGACAGCATGAGCATCAATATTAAAGCAAAAAACAGAATAGACCTTAGGGAAACCTACATACAGCATTTCTGGGAACCTGGTAAATCATGGGACCAGAAAGCCTAAATTGTGGATAGCTACAATAGTATCCTAGGGCTTCATCTGGGCTTCGGTTAAACAATAGCAAGAGAAAGTAAAATATAAAGGGATTTTGCTTGGTCAGATTTCTTAGGTAAACAGGTGATCTGTGACCTCAAAATTCCTCTTCTGATGACAATTAGTTTTGGTGAGACAACACTTGAGCTTTAATTTTAAGTCCTAGCTTTATTAGATTTGAGGCATGATGGATGGTTTGCTAACTGTAATTATAGTAGGTTATAACCTCCCTAAAGGTGTGTAGCAAGGTTGTATTTTGTGAGAAGTTTATACAATCTGGTTTACTCAGGAACGCATGAGAAATCACAAGAATCCTGAAAGCTGGTCTTACAATATGCTTCTGGTCCTCCAGAAAATTCTTCCAGCTCACTGAGCTGTGTGCATAGCAAATTCCTGAGACGGTCCTTTAGGGACTACTGATTGCTCATGCCTATGCTCTGGAAATGCAAACTCAAGTAGATATCAGCCAAACATATGTAAAAGCTTGCTAAATACTTAAAATAATGATATGTAAGAGAAGGAAGACCTCTACATTAAGTCAGCACAGTGCTATGAACTAGAAACAGCACAACTGCAATGAACCAGAAGCAAACCAAGGTCAAGCAGCAGCTGAATGAAAAAGCGTCACCTAGAAGACTACTGTGCATAGGAATCATTCCTCTGGTAAATGATGCATTACTGAAAAATCCATCCTGGAGCTATTTTTTTTCTCATAAAACATGAACGATTCAGCCTAGACTTTAACATCTTGATTAAGCTTCTTTAAATCCATCATCATTCATTATTTGACAACTAATCCCTCCCTCTGGTTCAGCCTTAGATTTTTACTTAAGAAAACCCACTCCCCTAAATGTGAATATACATGCAGTCCTACATATACATCCACTGCTTATTTCTACCACTTTGGTATATTACATGTTTCACAGTTCCTGTTTATTCACTTGTGTAATTAAGTCCTGTAACTGAGCCTACCTTTTCTACACATATGGCAAGTTGTTTTGTGTTCTAGAAAGAATGAAAAAACTCATGGCTTCTATAACTACTTTCATTTATGACTTGTGTCCTAAAGGACATTATTTTAAACCATATGGCCTATTTTTCTATTTTTTATAAGAAGAGCTAACACAATCAATTTATGAGAGGATTATAATCAGAAATGAATGGGTATACGAGAGAAATTGCTTACCACTTGGCTTGGAACATGGCAAATGTTCAACAAATAATAAGTAAATAGGAATGTATACTCTTATAGAAAAAGTGTATACATTCAATTGATAAGCATTTACTAAGTGTAAATATTCTATGTCCGATATTGTGCTAATACTGGGAGAAGTGAGATATATGCTATCATCCACATGTCCTGAAGATGAAGGTCCATTCCGTTAAAAACATGCAAAGAGAGAGAGAGAGAAAAGTGAGAAGGAAATGAGGGAGGGAGGGAGGGAAGAAGGGAGGAATCTGCAATATAAAATTACTAGATTCTGAAACTTGCAATATTCT